ATTAGGGACCTTGGGATCCATGGAATGATATAGCACTGATTCCCAAGGTTTTCTTTTTGCCTCATGGATCTCAGGCTAAGCTCTGGAGAAGACAGCAATTCAGAAACTTATGGGTACAAGCAACCAAAAGAGAGAGAGAGGAGAGAGAGAGAGAGAGAGAGAGAGAGAGAGAGAGAGAGAGAGAGAGAGAAAGCCTGCTCCCTCTAGCTAAAGGACCAGGAAGGAGCAACATTGCAAGAAAGAAAACTTTTAGACAATAACCACTCCACTCCAGCTAAATCACAGAAAAAACTGTAATACTATCTACACCCTGCCACTCAAGGGCAAATGGAGGCCATGTGGGAAGCAGTAACAAGGCAACTTCTCCCTCCTAGCCAGGGTGGTATCAGCAGAAACTTAGTGGGCAGCCTGTACTTCCATCTTCACCCAGCAGTAACTAGGCATCCTCCTCATTCCTTCCCCTCATCCCTACCCTGGGATGTCAACAGAGTAACCTGAACTTCTGCCTCCACTGGATAGCACTGGTTTGGTGTCAGAGAAGCCTAGCTAAAATGGAAGATTTAAATGAGATCTGGAGTCTCATACCATAGTACCCAAAATGTCCAGGGTTGATAATCTCTTGTCATACTAAGAACCAGGAATATCTCGCGTTGAGTGAGAAAAGACAGTCAACAGATCCCCAATACCAAGATGACACAGATGTTAAAATTATCTGACAAGAATGTTAAAGCAGGCAGTATAATAATTGTGAACGTGCTTGAAACAAATGAAAAAATAATCTCAGCAAAGGATCAGGAAGGAACAGGCTTGTAAGAAATAGAAGATATAAAGAATGAAATAGAAATTTTAGAACTGAAAATAAAAATAACAAAAATTAAAAACTTCACTGGATGGGTTCTAGTTGTAAAATGGCAAGAGAGGAAAGAATTAGTGAACTTTGAAGATAGAACAATAGAAATCACCCAGTCTGAACAACAGAGAGAAAATAGACTAGGAAAAAATGAACAGAGTCTCAAGAATTTGTGGGACTATAAAACAAGGTCTGGCATGTATGTCACCAGAGTCCCAAAAGTAGAGGAGAAAAAAGTTGGAGCTAAAAAAGTATTCAAACAAATATGGTTGAAAATTTGTCAGATATGACCCCCCAAACCCACATAAACGTACAGATTCGAGAAGCTCAGAAAACCCCAACTATGATAAATAAACTCAGGTGGGGTGGGGAACTTGCAATCTTGGGGCCACATGTGGCCTTCTGGATCCTTGAATGCAGCCTTTTGACTGAATCCAAATTTTACAGAACAAATCCTTTTATTAAAAGGGGTGCAGCAGAGAATGATGAAACTTTTCTTGCTTCCTTTGGTGCTTAAAAAAGAACAATCTTAAAATCAGAAGACTGCAGCTTCCCCATCCCTGATGGGAAAAAAAAAAAAAAAAAAAAAAAAGAAAGAAAGAAAAGAAATTGCAAGCCAGCCAAGAGCCAGAGAGAAATGATGCCTTACCAATAATGGAAAAAAAAATATCTGAACAACATCAAATTTCTCATCAGAAGCCTTGAAAGTCAGAATGCAGTGGCACAACATAAATCAAGTTGACAGAAAAGAACTGTCAACTCAAAATCTCATACCCAGTAAAAATATTTTTCAGGAATTCAGAGGAAATCAAGACATTCTCAGATGAAGAAAAACGATAAGAATTCGTTGACAGCAGATTTATCCTAAAAGAATAGCTAAAGAAAGTTTTTGAAATAGAAAGGAAATGATAAAAGAAGGAATCTTGGGATATTAAAAGAAGAACATTTCCATCAGTGTTTAAAAAAAAAGAAAGAAGAACAAAAGAGAGTAAAAATATGAGTAAATATAGTATACTTCCTTTTCTTGAATTATTGAAATTATATCTGATGGTGTAAGCAAAAGATTAGTTTAGTGGTTGTGTGCAAGATAGATTAAGGAAGTGGATAAGCACAGTGGTAATTTCTACTTCAGGCAATTTCACAAGGGAAATGACTACTGGCTCTGAGAAAGGACTCTGGGGTTCCCAGAATTTCCTCTTTCCTCAAAATATCAAACCCCTCCTGGTCCCCCCATCCTAAGCACCCATGTGTTGTCTGTGTGCTTTTCAATTTATGTAGAGAAAATATTTAAGGCAGTTATAAATAGGAGAGAATAAAGGGATTGAAAGCAAGAAAAGGCCTCTATATCTCACCGAAACTGGTAAAAATGTCGACATAGTAGAAGAGTAATGCACATATAATGTTATATACCTAGAGCATCTACTAAAAAAAAATCTATACGGAAAGATACTCTCAAAACACTATAAATAAACTGAAATGAAATTCTACTTGACCAAAATTATAGAGATGGAGAATAGATTATTGGTTGCCAGTATTTAAGGATGGTGGGGCAAGGGGAGTAGGTGTGATGACAAAAAGTAGAGCTTTGACTGGTTACACGAATCTACACATGTGATAAAATGGCATGGAACTACACACACATATAGCAATGTCAAGTTCCTGGTGTTGATATTGTAATATAATTACATAATACACGTCTATTGGGGGAAATTGTGGGAAGGATACAGGAACTTCTCTGTACTCTTTTTTGCAACTTCCTGCGAATCTATAATTATCTCAAAATGAGAAGTTAAACATTTTTTAAATTGACTATAATTAATATATGTTAATTTGTATTAATGTTATATTGAATATTATTTGATTTATTAATGAATAAATATAATTACTTTATTAATGTTTATGCTTAAATGTATTGATATTAAATATTCACTGATATTTTATTAATAATGTAAAATTGATATAATTTTAAATATTTTAGTTTTATAAATAAAGTAAAAACAAAAGCCTTTGGGTGCTTATGCAATGACTAAGGCTTAATTTTCCATCTTGTTTTTTAAAAAAGAATACTTTTCACTATAAAAGCAATCACTCATAACGTAAATTTATGCACATGTAAAAGTGCATGTATTTTTAACCACCATTTCATTTTATCCTGGGAAAATGAACCAACTTGGTTTTTGAGGATCTACTTATGACATTGGTCCAGGCCAAAAGCAGAATGCAAAAATCAGCTAGGCATGGCTCTGTCCTCAAGGAGCTCCTAATAAAACCCAATGGGAAAATCCAGGGACAAAGGCAGGAAAATCTGAATAACTTGAGAGTTAGGCAACAGAGCCCTCCGTAGCAGTTGTGTTGGCTTGTGCCAAAGACAATGTGTCCTACAAGTCCTGAAGACAAGCCTCTGAGCTCTTGAAAAGGCTTCTGGGGGCAGACAACCTTGAGGTGGGCTTTGAAAGGTGGTGGAATTGTTAGGGTAGAGACCAAGACGGGGAGAAGGAGATTCAATTCGAGCAGTAAGGGCATAATTTAAGCAAACAGGGAAAGTGAGAGGCACATTTAAGGGTGGAGAATAGACTAGTAGGACAAAACCCTCCAGGTTCAGTAGGGATGACTGGAGACCCTGGAAATTTGGGCTGCAACAGGGTGCATGGATTGTATCTGGTTAGAAAAGAACTGTTTGAGTGTGGAGAAAATAAGTTTAGTGGTTGTATGCAAGGTAGATTAGGAAGTTGATAAGCACAGTTGTAATTTCTGCTTCAGGCAACTGCTCAAACAAAAATGAGAAATGAAGTGACTGCTGGAATAGATGTACCATTCCAGTGTCCCTTGTCCTGTGCATTCATGCATCAATTCAATTTGCAATTACCTAACCCTGAGGTCATGAAGGCCTGAGGGTGGGCCAAGTCCAAGGACCCATGAGGTAAGTTTCACAGGGCTATGGTTTAGTTAGGCTCTTCTGGTTGCTTATCCATAGGTGAAAATGGATGCATTTTGAGAACACCAGCCTCATCTGCTTCAAGAGTCACCTCTTTCTAAAGCAGGGATACACAACAGCGATATAATCTGGATCACATACACAATTTAAAATTTGCTAGTAGTCGCATTAAAGAAGTAAAAAAGAAGCAGGTGAGGACGGGCGTGGTGGCTCACGCCTGTAATCCTAGCACTTTGGGAGGCCGAGGCGGGCGGATTGCTCAAGGTCAGGAGTTCGAAACCAGCCTGAGCGAGACCCCGTCTCTACCAAAAATAGAAATAAATTAATTGACCAACTAAAAATATATATACAAAAAATTAGCCGGGCATGGTGGCGCATGCCTGTAGTCCCAGCTACTCGGGAGGCTGAGGCAGTAGGATTGCTTGAGCCCCGGAGATTGAGGTTGCTGTGAGCTAGGCTGATGCCACGGCACTCACTCTAGCCTGGGCAACAAAGTGAGACTCTGTCTCAAAAAAAAAAAAAAAAAAAAAAAGAAGCAGGTGAAACTAACTTTAATAATATATTTTATTTAACCCAATATATTTAAAATATCATTTTAACATGAATCTATTTAAAATTGATGAGATTTTACATTTTTGTGTGTGTTGACTCTTTAAAAAATTCAGTGTGTATTTTACATTTACAGCACATCTCCACGTGGACTAGCCACATGTCAAGCGCTAAATCTCTACATGTGACTACTGGCTACCATATTAGATTATGCTTCTACAGGATTCTGCTGCTCAAAGTGGGGTTCCTGCACCAATAGTACCAAAATTACCTACTAGAAGTAAGGACTCCCAGGTTCTAACCAAGACCTAACTCATCAGATTCTGCACTTTGGTAGAATCTCCAAGGGATTCATAGGTACGGAAAGGTTGAGAAGCTCTGCCCCACGCATTTGGGAAGAGAGATACAGGATGCATGGCGTTTTGGCTACTCAATGTCCACATTAATCCTCCTCATTCAGATTCTATGCCACAATTTCCCTCTGCCCCAGCACCAGAAACAAACCTAAGCCAAGAAGCACCCTTGCTTCCCCTGAGCACTATGATTGGTTCAGGCATGCCACATGACCCAACCAGAGTCAGTGAGACACAAAGAATCTTTTGGTAGATACCACTGTGATTGAATGAAAAAGGCTATGAGTTCTGGAGCCACTGCAGAGCCTGATGGGAGAGTTTGTTTGTGTATGAAGCTTGCAAATGGAGGAAAACCAGATGCTGATGACATCATGTGAGCCCCTGCTTCAAACCTTACTGCTGGAATTTCCAGATATATGAGCCAGCAAATCCCCTGTTTGTTTAAACTAGTTTGGGTTGCGTGCTAGATATTATCTGTCTTCTCCTTGACATCTCCTCCCCTTGTTTTCCACCAGGCTCTTCAAGGATTATATCTATCGGTTCCCCTTGCCTGCTGGCTTCCTCTTGGGCTTGGCCACTGGGAGGCACCAGTAGGAGATCAGAGATCAGGAAGTGAATGAAGTCAGGGTATGTATTACCTTGCCTGTCTTCTTATGGGATTGCTGAGGGCCCACTAGTCCTCTCTGCCAAAGGTTACAGCTACTTTCAGGCAGCCTTCTCCTTCACCTCCTTACTCTGGTCCCAGTAGTCCTCTATCCCCTTGCTCCTTCAGGCGTAGGGCTGGTAATGGCTCCCTGAGCTTGCCAGTCCTAGAGTACTGCACTATTCTTTTTGGTTTCCCTACACCGTGCCCATGCCTTTGCAAATAATTCCTTTATTAAACTGTCCTCAAATTATCCATTTTGAATATCCCTTTTGTTTCCCATTGAGACCTGACTGGTACAGTAATTGGTATCAAGAGTGGCCTTAAAATAGGATTCCAGATTTGAGTTGCTCATGTATATGAGGAGGGCATGGATAGTCTCTTTGTTGGGGGTTGGGGACTGGATCCTGGCAGTCCATGTCATTCAGTGTCATCACAAATACACAAATCATCACTGGTAGTGCGTGGGACAAAGCAAAGGTAGGGCACAAGACATGGGGAGATTCGACCAACCCACAGTACGTGTCATGAACTGGGTATTGTCTGGTCCATTGAACCATAGAATTGGACAGGTATATCAGCCTGCTATTATAAATAGAAATGGTATATACTGAGTAGGTCCAAAGGTACAGTGAACTCCTCTCATATCCAAACCCACTGGCTAACTGTCTCCTTTCATATACCACCTAGGTCCTCAAAGGAAACATATATGGTCAGTTAACAGAGGAAAAGAAAGTCCAGGCCTCTTTTAGACATGAACCTACACAGTATGCTGGAACCATCTGGACAACTGTTGCACCCCAGCCCACTCTAGAGTGGCTTCAAAAGCAAATGATGAAGGGATGCTCTCTAGTGGGCAGTACTCCACTACAGATCTACCTGAGGTACATATCTAATATGGTCTAATATGATTCATGGGCAGTGGCTAATAGGTTAGCCAGCTGGTCAGGGGTTTGGAAAGAACAGATTAGAATATTGGTGACAAGGAGGTCTAGGGAAAAGATACATGTATGGACTTCTTATAAAATACAGAATATAAAGATATTCATGTTCCACATAAATGCTCATCTAAGGGCATCTATTGTGGTTGAGACTCTCAATTATCAAGAGGACAAGATGACCCAATCTGTGTATATCAGTTGGCCTCTTTCTCAGATGATCTGGTGCTTGCTCAATAGGCCCATTTACAAAGTGGCCATGGTGACAGGGAAGGAGACTATGTATGGCATTAACAACATAGACTTGTGTTGACCAACATATCTGGTGACTGCCACCATTTTCTTTGTGGGAAGGATTTTAACTATAAATTCAAAATTTTAAATAGATATAGAGCTATACACATTGTCTATTTCTTCAGTGAGCTTTGATAGTTTGTGTCTTTCAAAGAATTTGTCCATTTTATCTAAGTTGTTAAATTTATTGGCATAAAGTTGTTCATAATAGTGTCATATTATCCTTTTAATATCTGTACAAACTGTAATGATGTCATCTTTCTCATCCCTGACATTGTAATTTGTGTCTTCTCTCTCTCTCTTTTCTGATCAATCTGGATAGAGGTTCAACAATTTTGTAGATTCTTTTTTTTCAAAGAACCAGATTTTGGTTTTATTGATTTTTATCTTTTTTAAAATTATTTTATTGATTTCCACTTGGTTGCTATTATTTCTTTTCTGCTTGCTTTGAGTTCAATTTACTCCCCTTTTTCTTTATTTCTTAAGATGGAAGCTAAGATCATTTGATTTGCAACCACCCTTCTTTTGTAACATGTTCATTCAGTGCTCTACCATTTCCACAGTGTCAATTTTTTTATTGCTAAGTGTCAAATTTTTTTATTCAGGCTGTGCCAAGCCCAGAAACCAGCCAAACTCCTGGTTATTGAATCTCTTTCAACATATTAAGGGAAGTTGTTTGTCTTTATAGGAACAGACACATAACATGGATGCGGATTTGCCTCTTCTGCCTGCAGTATTTCTACCAGTACCATTAGTTTATAGACCTACCATTAGTTTATAGTGCCTTATCCATTACCATGGCATTTCACATGACACTGCTTCCATCTAAGGGGCATTTGTGGCAAATAAAGTGTGACAGTAGCCTCACGCTCTTAGAATTCCTGGTTTTATTACATGTCCTCTCATCTAGAAAAAGTTGATTTGGTAGAATATTGGATTGATCTATTTAAGTCTTGGTTCATAAGCCTTAAACCAGCAGCCAATATTTGGTGCCTTCTCTTCCATAAGCAGAATTCATGGCTTTGGGAAATGTCTTAGTCCATTTTCTGTTGCTGCAATAGAATATCTGAGACCAAGACATTTATAAAGAAAAGAGGCTTATGTTGGCTCACAGTTCTAGAGGCTGGGATATCCAGGCTCAGGTGGCCACATTTGGTCAGCTTCTGGTGAGGGCTTTGTGCTGTGTCATAACAAGGCAGAGAAGCAGAAGGGGAAGCAGACATGTGCAAAGGGGTAAAATATGATGGCTGGCCTCATTTTATAACAACCCACTTTCACAGTAACTAATCCAGTCCATTGAGAGCAAAAACTCACTCACACTCAGGAGAATCAACCCAGCCCTACAAGAGTGGCATTGATCTCTCTCTCTCTCTCTCTTTTTTTTTTTTTTGAGACAGAGTCTTGCTTTGTTTCCCAGGCTAGAGTGAGTGCCATGGCGTCAGCCTAGCTCACAGCAACCTCAAACTCCTAGGCTCAAGCGATCCTTCGGCCTCAGCCTCCTGAGTAGCTGGGACTACAGGCATGTGCCACCATGCCGGGCTAATTTTTTCTATATATATTATTTTGCCAATTAATTTCTTTCTATTTTATAGTAGAGACAGGGTTTCGCTGTTGCTCAGGCTGGTTTCCAACTCCTGACCTCGAGCAGTCCGCCCGCCTTGGCCTCCCAGAGTGCTAGGATTACAGGCGTGAGCCACCGCGCCTGGCCATCATTGATCTCTCTTAATGACTTAATCACCTCTCAAAGGCCCAACCTTTCAACACTGCCACACCGGGGACTGAATTTCCAACTCATGAATTCTGGGGGACACACTCAAACCATAATGGTAAATAAGGGGTACCTGTGTACTCACTGTTACACCAAATAAACCATAAAGGAATTTTTGTGCTTCCCATCTCTATAGTCATGTAAAGTCTCAATGACTGGATGGCTTTGGGAATCCTAGTGCCAAAGGGAATGATACTTTCATCAGGAAACACAACTATGATTCCATTAAACTGGAAGTAAAAATGGTATCCTGATTTATAAATGTTGTAGCAGAGACTGACCCCAGCCTCTAGGTATATGACCACCCTGCTAAAGACCATATTTCTCAGAGTCCTGTGTAGCTAGGGCTGGTAGACTAGATTATTACTTATAGAACATTTACTCCTTTCCTTCTTATAGGTCTTCATGGAAGTAGCATATCACCTGCTCCATGATGTTGGGCTTGGTTATATGATTTTCATTGGCCAATGGGATGTTAGCAGACATGATCCAAGCAAAGACTAAATATTGCTTGCACAACTAGGTGGGCTCAGGCTTTCATCTTGTCATCCTGACCACAGATAGGAGAATGCAGAAGGGAATGGGCTCAGGCCTGTGGCAGGTCACCAATCTTGCCCTAAGGCCACCTTCTCTACATGGCTCCTAATGTATGTATTTGACTTACAAAGGCATATGTGTGCTGCTATTACTATGAGAGTCATTTCCATGAGGAGCACATGTCCTGGGTATCTTGCTGGTGGCAGAAGGTGAGAAACACATGGAACAGACTTGCATCCAAGCTGCAGCCTGGAGCCAAGCCCAGCTGCAATGTGGATCAGCCAAATACCAGCTGATCTTCAGACACTTGATCAAGAAATAAGTGCTTACTCTGTCTGCCACTGATACATTGTGGTTGTTTGTCACATACCATCTTTGTGGCAATAGATAACTGAGGCCCTACATATGGCCATGTGATTAAGGTATGAGCAATGGCATGTAAGAGGAAGTGGTATGTTCAACTTTTAGTTCATGACCTTAACAGAAAGGTGTGTGCTCTCTGCTTTCCCTACCTGCTTCACGCTGCAGAAATGTGGGTGTGGTGGTGGGAACTAGAAGCTATGTGATGAGGAAGGCAGAGACAGGATGGGCAGAGCCTGGGTCCCTGACACTATGGAGTTAAACTATCAGCCCAGGACTGCTTACACTCAGACTTTTAGGTCAGAGAGAAACGGATTTCTATCTGGCCATTGTTACATCAGGAATGCTGGCATCCTAATACGGTTTGGGTTTTCTGTCATGAACAACTAAGAGTCCTAACTGACAAATGGGTTTGTCACATGCCCCCGCCACCCCACGCAGTGCTTATGTAACCACAGCCCCTCCATATCCACTGATGGCCTGCTTCCTGTTCTGCTGTGAGTCCTGCCCACTGTGCTGTGGAACACTGGACACATAGTCTGCCCTGGATCACTACTGCTCCTGTCACAAGTGCCCCCTTTCCAGCTCCCCTGCTAGCTGTGCGAGTATATATAGTTTCAGTGACAGGGTGGCTGTCACTGGACAAATCCAGTACCTGGCCTAGAGTAGTTTAAAGCACGAAGTTAGGCAGGGTGTGGTGGCTCACGCCTGTAATCTTAGCACTCTGGGAGGCTGAGGTGGGTGGATCGTTTGAGCTGAGGGGTTCGAGACCAGCCTGAGCAAGAGCGAGACCCCGTCTCTACTAAAAATAGAGAGAAATTAGGTGGACAACTAAAAATATATAGAAAAAAAAATTAGCAGGGCATAAAGGCATGTGCCTGTAGTCCCAGCTACTCGGGAGGCTGAGGCAGAAGGATTGCTTGAGCCCAGGAGTCTGAGGTTGCTGTGAGCTAGGCTGACGCCATGGCACTTTAGCCTAGGCAACAGAGTGAGACTCTGTCTCAAAAAGCAAAAGAAAAAAACAAAGCAAAAAGAAAGAAAGAAAGAAAGAAAAAGCACAGAGTGAGAGTAGGGATGCACATGTACTCACCCTATAACTCAGAGGTACAAAGACAATGTAGCTCCTTTGTTTTCCATGACCTAATCTTTCCCATGAGCCCTCACCCTGCTGGGGGGGGGGAGGGAAAATTTAGGCTTGCCAATTAACAATATATGAGATTCTTTTGGTTCAAACAGTGTCTTTGTGGGTAACTTGGGCTCTCTTAGGTAAGTGTTTTTTAGGTCAACCTCCCTTTCCCCTTTATCTTGCTAAGATCTCCCCCTTTAGCTTGCTAAGATCCTGTCTGGGAATGTGGGAAAGAGGAGGCTCATGTGACCTGGTGGTGGAGGGAAAGTGTTATCTTGGATCTCTGTGAGCAGGTCCTTGTTCTGTCCTCTGCCTCTGCCACGTGAGGCTGGCCTGTTCCGATACCTGAGTTCCTATGTGTCACCTGCTGAGATGCAGCAGGCCTCATAAGGCCTTTGGAATGTGATGCCATGACCCTGAACTGAAGTCCACACTTTTTAACCATTTTCTTTCAGGAACAAAATCCCACCTCTGCAGGCTTTTCATTCTCTGTACAAGCCTCTATGATACTTCCCCATGCCTTCATGGGGCACAGGGAAGCTTTCTCTGTCTAGGAATTGAAGGGGTTAAGTTCTTGCACAGGGCATTCTGTAGGACACTTTTATGTAATTCTATGTAAGGAGTCAATGTGAGGCTTTACTATATACTCTTGCCCAAAAGACAACGGGGAGAGGGGTAGTATGGGGAGGAGGGTACTAATTGGGTTAGGATTTACCTAAGAGAGATCAAGTTACCCCCAAAAGACTATATGAACCAGAAGAATCTGATAATAATAGAATAATACCTTCTCTGCCTGCTGGATGGGGTTGTCAGAACTTAGACTCTGCACTAAGATCATAGGGATTCCTTCCTGTGTCATGGTCCGCTGCCATTCACCAAGGAAAGGACACTGATTCTGGGGCCCAGGACCCCTTGAACAATGGAAGATGATCTCATCAGGTATACTGCTCACAGCTGTGAACATGGAGGATGGTTCATAAATGTTTGTGCATTGCATTCCATTGAGACCAAAGGGCACTTTAGTTTCCCTTTTAGTGTCCTAACATTTCCAACTCGATGCTCAGACAGGCAGAGAGGCCTCTCTAACTTTGGTAGACCCTAAACCCTAAGTCACTCATTCAGCTTGGGTACTGAAGGCAAAAACAAGGCAAATAAGGCTCCGCACTCCACTGGGAATCAGTAAGAAAGCTTTTAGTTCCATAATCAGATTTAGCAATAAGAAATTAGGCGGTGCCATGGACAAGCAATGATGCAGCATGGTATGGTGTGAATGACATCATGCAGATGACTGTTTTTCCTGTTTTTCCTGAGTAAGCAGACCTGAGTCAAACCATACAGCAGTGTTGCTCAACCTCTGTCTCTGTAATGCTTTCTTACTCTATTCCTACCAATTAATAAATAGCAGCTATCACCTACTCAACACTCAAAATAAGCCAGGTACTACTATGCTGAGCATTTCCAGGAATTTCCAGAAGCAAGTTTCTTAACCTTGCTGAGTTTGTTTTCTCATCTGGAAACCTGGCATAAAAAACCTCACAAAGCTATTTTACTGATTAAATGAGATATTTATATGCCTCCACACATTGCCTGGCGCATTATAAGCACTTAAATCTAACTTTTGCTCCGACGATTTTATTGAGCTTTTTATCTGAATTTATGTTATGAAATTAGGCATATATCCCATGCTGTCTGAATCTATTCAGTTCCTGAGTTTAGAGAGGGGGAATACAAGTTATGAGAAGATATGAGTATTCAGTTCCCATATTTAGATAGTGATGGGTACTGCAGTTTTGGATGTTTTTATAAATTACACATGCCCCTCAGAGATTCTGATACTTCTATGTTTGAAAATTAACTGGTGTATACATTTTAGCAGATTTTCCCTAAAAGAAAAGAAAAGCAGTTCTTCATAAATTTCCAGATTGTCATTGTGCTGCCAGGGCTTACGGTGGGCAAAACCCAAACCCCCTAGAAAAATGCTTTTCTAGCCATAGGGTATCCCCACTGCCATTCTCCAGGGAAATGACACCAGG